CCCCAAAACCCCAAAACCCCAAAACCCCAAAACCCCAAAACCCCAAAAATTAGTAATATTTTTGAATGGATAAATCAAAACTCGATATTTATTCAGTACGAAATGGGTTAATTTTTAGGACATCAAGTCTAAAACTGTCAATGAAGCAACTACTGCGTTGAGAGACATTGATACAAAAATCGATGCGTATAATAAACTCTCAGATGATATGGATGAACTCAGGCAAAGATCATATGTTGAAACAATGGTTCCTATCAATAAAGTTGCCTTCTTTAAGGGTCATCTGAAGCATCAGAATGAGATCCTTGTGTTTTTAGGCAATAATTACTTCGTTGAGAGGACTGTAGATGAGTGTAAACCTATCATTCAGAGAAGAATTGACCTTCTCCAAAGCGACAGGAAAGAATTTGCCCAAGTTGCTGAAGAAGAATCCCAAAAATCTTCCACAGCAAATCAGTTATTGAAAGAGGAACAAAAAGATGATGCAACAAATAGGTGGAATGATGACGGCACCCTTGAAATCAGAGAAAGCATTGAACCCTCACAAGTTGAAGAGACTAAAGAACAGCAAGCAGAAGAAGTAACTGAAGATTTAGAAGAAATTGACTTAACTGAAGAACAACTAGAGGCAAAGAGGGAACAAGAATACAAGCAAATGGTTCAGACTAATCCTGAATTGCAGAGGAGAAAGAAAGCTCTTGAAGAGAAAATGAAGCAGATGGGAATGTTCTTCTCTAAAGAAGACCCTGAAGGCCCTGTAGAACAAGAAGAGCAGGAAGAAGATAAAATACAAGAACCTATAAGTGAAAAGCAACCTGAAGAAGTTACTGAACCAAAGAAAAATGCCTTAGCTAATGATTCTGTATTTGGAGCAATCATGGAAAGAAACATTGATGAAGTACCTGCTAACACATCGAGCCAAGTGCAAGATGGAGACTCTCAGCCTAAGAAGATGTCTAAGTTCAAACAAAGGCAGCTCAGAAATAAGAGATAACCTCTGACTTATGTACTAAGTTTTCAACTAAAGATATGCTTTAAGGGGTTTTGGGGTTTTGGGGTTTTGGGGTTTTGGGGTTTTGGGGTTTTGGGG